ATTTTCCTAGCCTGTGCCCACTCTATCAATGCGGTATCATGCTTATTCACAAGAAGTTCTATTAGTTCAGTAGCATATGCTGTAAAAAAGATAAAAAGCGTTACCTGTGTTGTTGTTGTAGCATATTTTCATAAGGAATCATGCTATGGGGTAAGTTTCCAAAAATTCAGTAATTCCTTAATAAGGCAATGTATTCACTTTTACAACAAAGTCCCAGAAAATATGCTGGGCCTGTCTATCAAACGGTATTAAAATTGTTACTAAGCAAAAGTTAAAGCTAAAAGCTTGAAAGGATTATAATAAAGAATACATGATAGGTGATCATTTTCTTACATTTCTAATAAGATAATTTCGGATCTATGTGACCGTATCTAAAAGCGAGCTCTCGAAATCTTGGTTCTTGGCTAAAAAAAAGGTTGTGTCTATGCAAATATTCAGTTTTAGGGAGCGCCGAAAAATCGTAGATGATATGCCTAAGTGACACACCGGTATGGTGACGATAAGAATAACATCTATCTTCGAAAGTTATTAGTTTTAATAACCTTTTCCTGGATGGCAATGACAAAGCCCTGTTTCTCTAAAGAGGCACCAAACAGTAGCAAATGAACTGTGACTCTGTCTAAAGACGAAAGATACATGTACAGCCTTGTAGAATTTCCCGTGAAACTCCTTCTCCTTCCAGTCTTGGCAGCTCAAGGGATAAGCGCTCGCTGGAAATTTTATAGTATGCGAGTAAGCCAGGTTCGATTTCCACTGGCACCCATGAAATTGTTAATTTCAGTTTTAAGTGCTGATTTACCATGTGCTCGGCGGTGAAGGAAAACATCGTGAGGAAACCTGCATGTCTGAGAAATAAGAAAAAAAATATTTCGAAGACGTGAAGTTCGCTACCACGCATTGGGCAGCGCAGTTGACACTACCTAAAAATCCTCTCAGAAATGAGACGAGGCCTGTGCCCAGCAGTGGGACGTATATAGACTGTAACTAATTTTTTCCTTCTCCTTCCACACGGCTGAGTAACAAACGCTCTGTAAAACTAGGTGCTGCCTTAGCTCGTTTATAGACGATAAGTCTTTATCATACGAAATGACGTCCATATAACAATTACGGATGCTGTATACATGACGCGAGGGCCTTTAAAAAGCTACGCCTTCATGCCTCCACGATAAGTACTTACAGCCTTACTAACGATCTCGGATTATGCAACTCATGGGACGCAATAGTGGTGTGGACTTTTCTATATAGGGCGTTAAGTCCACTTGAGTATGCTAAAGGTGTAGATGAGAACAGGTATAACTGAACTGTTATGTTATATGCGCCTGCCTTATTGACGCCTCACAAAAGGCTGTTAAGCACTTCTGCCAAGTGTGCGAAAAACAAATCGCAAAATTAACTCACAATCACTCTAAATAAATACAATGTCACTAATCTACTCTATTTAGGCTTTGTTCATTCCGTAGTTTGTAGAATTTTTTTCAGTCAAATTAATAGATTTTATTTGACACTGTACTGCGCCTGCCAACCATTAAAACGCCCATAACATTCATTTTTTTTTTTTTTTTTTTATAGGAGAGGGGGCAAACGAGCATGCGGCTCACCTGATGGTAAGTGACTACCGCCGCCCATGAACAACCGCAACACCAGGGGAATTGCAGATGCGTTGCCGGCCTTTTAAAAAGGAGTAGGCTCTTTTCTTGAAGGTCCCTAAGTCGTATCGGTCCGGAAAAATCGCTGATGGTAATCGATTCCACAAGGAAGTCGTGCGAGGAAGAAAACATCTTCTAAATCGCACAGTGGTGGACCGCCAATCATCCAGATGGTGTGGATGGTATCGGGAGTTCTGCCGCGATGTGCGTTCATGAAATTTGGCGGCTGGGATTAATCCGAACAATTCCTCAGAGCACTCCCCATGGTAGATGCGAAAGAAAATGCAAAGAGATGCAACATCTCTTCGCAGTGCCAATGAATCGAGCCGATCGGAAAGGGCTCGGTCGTCGACGATTCGAGCCGCTCTGCGCTGGATGCGGTCAAGTGGAAGGAGCTGGCACTGGGGAGCCCCTGCCCAGAGATGGGAACAGTATTCCATGTGAGGCCGAACCTGCGCCTTGTAAAGTTGCAGGCGGTGTGCCGGCATGAAATACTGTCCCGCTCTGCTGAGCACGCCAAGCTTTTTAGAGGCCAATTTGGCCTTCTCTTCCAAGTGACCACGAAACTGCACGTCACTCGATATGTCGACTCCGAGGATACCGATACTGGCTGAGGCAAGAAGGGGAGTGCCTTGAAACTGAGGAGATACGACAAAGGGGTTCTTTTTAGCGGTAAACGCGCAAACTTGTGTCTTCTGAGGATTAAACTGGACTAGATTTAGTCGCCCCCAATCCGAGACTTTGTCCAGCAAAGACTCGACTTCAGACACAAGTTTGTTCCGGTACTCGGCGACGTTTTCCCGAGAAATATTGGCCCGGCCGGTGTATAGAGCATCACCAGTGCTGTCATCCGCATAGCAATGAATGTTACCAGTTAGCAACATATCATTGATATGCAGAAGAAACAGCGTTGGTGATAGCACACAGCCTTGTGGAACACCAGCGTTAATAGGCTTGTAGTCAGAACATGCACCGTCTACAACGACCTTGATGCTCCGATCTGCAAGGAAGCTGGTGATCCAATTGCACAATTTCTCGGGAAGCCCATAGGAAGGGAGCTTCGAAAGAAGCGCTTTGTGCCAAACCCGATCGAAGGCCTTCGCAATGTCCAGACTAACGGCCAACGCCTCCCCCTTGGACTCTACTGCCTCCGCCCATCTATGGGTCAGGTAGACTAGAAGATCACCAGCTGATCGACCCCGACGAAAACCGTATTGGCGGTCACTGATCAGCTGGTGATCCTCAAGGTACCGGATGAGCTGGCAGTTAATAATGGATTCCATTATTTTGGAGAACAAGGAGGTGATCGCGATAGGCCTATAGTTGGACGGGTCTGAGCGGTCGCCTTTTTTAGGGATCGGGTGGACAAAAGCTGTCTTCCATGAGTTCGGGACAACGCCATGGGAGTAGGAGTACCGGAAAAGACGCGTTAGAACCGGTGCCAACTCCGGAGCACACGTCCTCAGCACAATTGGGGGGATTCCGTCAGGCCCACTCGACTTGTGGATGTCAAGGGAGAGGAGTGCTCTGCGAACCGAGCGCTGTGAGAATAGCACATCCGGCATAGAGCACTCACACCGCGGGATGGTCGGCGGTGTGTTCCCCCCGTCATCAACAGTCGAGTTGGACGCAAAAAGGGAGCCTAAAAGGTCGGCCTTCTCTTTTGCGTCGTGGGCCAGTGAGTCGTCCTCCCTGTGCAGAGATGGTAGTGATGGCTTACAGAAATTCCCTTGGACAGCCTTGGCGAGAGACCAGAATGCACGGGTTCCCGAAGGAAGGCGAACTAGTTTCTCGCCAATTCTGCCTATGTGCTCAGACTTTGCCTTGGCAATAACTCTTTTGAAGGACCTGGAGGCGAAGTTATACTTCTTTTTAAGTGTGCTGGTGTTTACATCCCGAGTCACCGAAGCCGCAACCCAGGCTTGATAACACTCCTGCTTTCTGCGCAATGCAGTCTTACAGGAGCGACCAAACCAAGGCTGAGATCTGCCTCCGATGGGTACCACAGATGATGGAATAAATAGTTCCATTCCCTGTAGCACCACATCAGTGACAGAGTCAGCAACAGCGCTGGGATCATCCGGCGAGAAGCAAACACGCCCCCATGGGTAGGATGCAAAGAAAGACCGCATTCCGTCCCAATCCGCCGACCTATAATGCCAAACACGGCGGCAACCTGCAGAACGCAACCGCGAAGGGAGCGTGAGTGGCACCATACTCCGGATCAGACAATGGTCCGAAGAGCCGAGAGGGGCATCGACGGAAACCTGATATCCGTCCGGATGAGAGGTCAGCAGAAGGTCCAACAGGGAAGGTGTATGATCCTCCACATCTGGAATCCGTGTAGGCGAAGTAACCAGTTGTGTCAGACCATATGCCAAAGCAAAGTCATAAACAGATCTCCCCGCATGATCGGTTAAACGTGAACCGAGCCATTCGGCATGGTGGGCGTTAAAATCGCCAAGGATCACGATCTCTGCGGATGGGACCTGTTGTAGCAAGGAATCTGTAGCCATTTGGACGTGGTCGATGAGTCGGTCTGTTTCGGCATTACCGCTATGGGACCTATAGAGGCACCCGTAGACGCGCGGATGGTCGTCGCTGTCTACGCGTAGCCAAAGGATGGACAGGTCCGAACCTTCAAGACTGCCGAGGCGTCGAGAACAGATGTCCTCTCTGACATACACGCAAACTCCAGCCCGAGGCACAAAGGAGTGCTCCAATTTGTACCCCGGGCAGGAGAGATACGAAATATCAGCCGGAGAGGAAACCTGCGTCTCGGTCAGAAAGAGCAAGGCCGGCTTCGCCGTCTCGAGATGGTAGTGGACGGCGTTTAGGTTAGAGTGAAGTCCCCTGATGTTGCAGAAATTCACGGATAGCGTGGCAGGGGTCGCCTTGGTATTGTTGCTCAGTTTGCCCCAAGCAGTTTTGTTTTTGAGCGGAATTTTGCCCCCCCCAGAATACGCGGGGCAGCCTGAGCACCCACGCTCAGGATTGGAATAACATGGTCGTGGATGCTCAGCGAGGGATTCTCCAGGGGTACTGGTACCCTCCTGGGGTAGTCTACTTTGTAATTCCGCTACCATGTTGATGGGGGGGGGGGGGGGGGGAATTGGGCCTCCGGCCACCTGCACTCACCAGACGAAACGCAGAAGCAGAGCCTCTACTTCACGCCGGTATTCTGTGAGGTCGTGGTACCAACCCGGCTCGAGCCTGCCCATACGTGCAACAGCAAAAAACTGCTGCGGGGCTCTACCACCGTTAAATTTCTAATTATTTTATAATAAATTCATATTGAGTAACCAATTATTTATTATAATAAATAAAAATTAATTATACAGAACACATCACATCTTATGCTTTCAGTGTTGACTCTAGTTCACCATTAGCTTTCAATTCTTTAATTATATCTAATCCTCCAATAAGTTCTCCTTTTACATAAAGTTGTGGGTACGTTGGCCAGTCAGAGTACTCTTTGAGACCTTGTCTTACTTCTTCATCAGTTAATATATCAAAGGTGTCATATTGTACTCTGAAAATTTAAATAAATTTACTTTAATTATTTGTTTCATATTATGTTGAGTAATTTGTACATGAACCCTCCATCTGAACATTAACAGTAATATAATGAATGACCAAGTGACCAACGCCTTTCTGTTAAATGTCTTGTTAAGACATACTTGATTGTAAGCTGTTATTTAAAAAAAAGTCCTGTTGGGTTTCTTGCTGGTTCTTCCCAGGACAGAGGTTTTTTTTTTCGAACCAGTGGTAATTAAACAAAAGAGTGACTTTCAATGAGTATCATTTATAATCTATATTGAATAAAAAAGTGTCTTTCTGTTAACTATGGCAAATGTCCCACCTATGAGGAGACCTATGTTCAGTGGTGGACTTTTGATTGGCTGTAATAAATGAATGAATGTATATAAAAGTTCTGTATTACTTGTAGCTATAAAACAAGTACTAATTATAGTTGTCTCAATACATCTAATTATGATCATCTATACAAATAAATAAAATTGAAGTGCCTGTTCGTAATGTCAAAAATACAGCTTTTTACTAAATGCATATGAAGGTATATACGGCACTAATAACAAAAATACAATTTTTAAAGTTTTTGTCTGTCTCTTTGTTCCGGCTAATCTCCGAAACAGCTGGACTGATTTTGACGGGATTTTCACTGGCAGATAGCTGATGTCACAAGGAGTAACTTAGGCTACTTTAATTTTAGAAAAAGAATTAGGGTTCCTTGCAAAAAAATTTAAACCCCAAATATATGCGTGCGAAGTTGTGAGGAACAGCTAGTTATAGAATAAAATACTTATATTCAATATAGATCATTACATAATAGTTATTGAAGATAATTTTTTTTATTTACCACTGGTTCGGAAAATATCTCTGTCCTGGGAATAACAAACAAATAACTCACGATAATAATTTTTTTAAATAAAATTTTACAACAATAATATAGAATTATTTATATGAATCATAATGGAAATGGAACCAGCATGGTAGCGATAATTTGGTGCATACATATAATTGCAGCCAAACATGAGTACCTACTTATCAAGCTTACTGAGATTGCCACAAAGCATAGTTCTGGGCCACCTGCATGTCTGAACAGATTGTCAATTAACCTATTTGTCAGTGACTTACAAACTGCCATGTATACATATAATCAAAGGCTGTGAGATTCTTAACAAAGTCCCAGAAAATATAAAAGGTCTCTCTATTACCTAGTTTATTTTTTTTAACACCTTTATTACGATTATCTGCCCCCTGACATCCCTAGTCCCATAGACTTTAACTCATCTAATCTTCACAAATACCCCTTTTGTATATATTTTATGTGATTTTATTAACTCTAACAACTTTAAACTATAATTTATTTGTTATATAATAACACATTAGTATTGTTCTAACAACATTGCAGCAGCTATATTAGTAGTATAGTTGTAGCATGAATGGATCGGCTCGACCAGGGAAGGACACGCTCTCACAGAATACCAGCGTAAAATAGCAGCTTAACACTGCTGTTTTTCGTATGGTGAGTGTAGAGAATCGGAGACCCTTTTTACTGGAAAAGAGGCATTCCATCTTAGTCCTCACGGGTGACAACGCATCTGCATTTTAATTCGCAAACGAGGATAAATGTAAATGTCTATGGGCCACAGCAACCACTTACCATCAGGTGGACTATGTGCTCGTTTGTCTCCCTATCCTATAAAAAAAAGGTAATTCAACAGATAAGTTGACCAAAATCATTCACATAATATTCGTTGTTACCATTTCTTGTATTATCAATTTCCCTTTTTTAAGCAGAGTTTGTGTCCCAATTAAACCTTCTTGCATGTAACATGTCATTGGTGAATTCATCGTAACCGCCATAAAGGAAGAAAAAGAAGAAGACTGCAGTAATAAATTTGACATTTGGGATAGAGGTTAAACAAAGAAATCCGGTACCATTTAATATTAGGGACACTATAAAAGTGCATTGGTTGAAGAGTGGAATCTAATGTCATAGTTTTATTGATGATTTTAAAAATTATGTCCATATGAATGCATGAAAATGTGACAGCAAAAGAAGGTAGAACTTAAAAATGAGTGCACCAAATATTAAACAATCTGTCATATAAGCAAAATCCAAAATTGATTACTTTCCTTAAAATACATTTTTGTCTCCATTTATTTTTAATGAGTCTTCATTTTGTTTTGTTCATCAATGTTAATTTTAGTAATCAGCCTTAACAACCTCGATTATAGATCATGATAATCTGCCCCTTTTTTTCAATCCTCTAAATATGTCCATTAGTGTATTAAAAGTTGTTAAAGTTGGTTTTAAAACTGTTATGGACTTGTACTTATGCAATATTTCTTTTTTATAAAAATAGGGTGATGGTGAGTGATTGCTGAGGCCCATCAACATCTACAATCTCCTCGTTTGCATATCAAAATGCAGATGCATTGTCAGCCTTGAGCACAAGATGAAATGCCTCGTTTCCAGTAAAAAAAGGTCTTCAGTTTTCTACACTCACCATACAAAACACAGCAGCATTAAGCTGCTATTCTGTGAGAGCATGGTCCTTCCTTGTCGAGCCAACCCATTCGTGCTACAACTATAATATAAATATAGCTGCAGCTTGGTTCTACCACATAAGAATATTTATTATTTGACTGCTCTGGTAATAGTAAAAAAATCATACATACCCAGTTTCATTTATTATCTGTATAAGTGTCCTACTAAATCCACATCTTGGAGCATCTCTGTTACCCTTCATAAAAATCATGACAGTATGTTTGTTAATGAGTGCTTTTAGTCTTTCCTCTAGTGGCTGTTTAGGGGTTATGGTTGTTGGAGTAGATTTGCCAAAACTAAGAGATTTTACTTTAGACGTAATCTGTGACACATCAGCTCCATCTACTCTGTCTACTTGTGCTCCATTTTTAAAAAACACTACAGTTGGAACTGAATCAACCTATTAAACAAAATAATATACCATGAAATTTCATTCAGTTCAATATTATAAAAAATGCATTTTAATAGTCATAGCATTTGTTTATGTGTAAAAACATTATTGATTACTACCAAATTGAAGATTTATAACAGAGTGAACGAGGGTACAGGAACTTCACTAGCATCTCAAAATGTACACACCAAAAGTGAGAAGTGGACCTAGAGTGGAAGACAGACCCCCACCCCTTTGAATGAGATCCCGCCTTCTCACAACAGGGGGGCTTAATAGGCATGGCTTGATCATTCACGGTAAACGAAGAGGAGCCCATTAGGTTGGCCCGAGGTGGCTACTCCAGGCAGATATGAGTAGGTATATCCACTTGATTAAAAAAATCCTAACTAACCAAAACATATCATAAGTAGATCTTTCAATAATACTATACTATACAATAATAATAATAATACCTTATATTTCAGAGAGATTTCAGAAAGAGTTTCAGCGTTACAAACACCAAATTTAGTATTGCTGGATTTAATTTCAGGAAGTGCTGCAAGTTCTTCAAGTACTGTTGTAATTTGAGGGCACTGCTCTGCCCAATCAGTGGAAAAATGTACTACTGTTAACTGTGGATAACTAGAAAGAAAAAGAACATCATGTTAGTCAAAATAAAAAATAATTTATTCAGTTTTAGCTAACTTCAAGCTGTAACAGACAATAAACCATGGATCTTGAGATTGCTAATGAACCAGGGAACTAAACAAACTAGTAAACAAGATTAATAAACTAGTTCACAGCATCCAAAATTTGATAGACTCTTTTCACGGACATGTCTCTCTCATTGCTACTTACAATAAATATAAAAATTAACATAATTTTTTATGCATACATCATGTAATATTGACAAGACTAAGAATCCAGAATAACTTTGTATATGTTAAAGTTACAACCTATATACCTTCCACTGCTGGGCACTGGTTTCCTTCCATGTCTGAGGGGTTTGGGGCACGGAAATGTGCACTGTGCTGCCTTAACACGCATAGCAACAATGGACATTTAATGTACATATCTGTTAAGTTTAAACAATTTCCTCAATAGGACTGTGTTTTAAATTGCAAGTACTGACTTACTTTAGGTAGGTAATCTGAAGGTGAGCTCCTTTACAGCCTTTCAAAAGTATAGGCCTCTTCCAAAGATTGTTTCATATTTGCCAGTTGCAAAGCTTGGCAGGTAGTTTGGCAAACACATTATTTATTTTTAGTTGTTATTAGGAAGACGCTGCCATTAATCTCTGGGTTTATTTCCCCCTTTATTTATTACATTCGTTAATAAATCAAATGTTTTTCAATCGAAATTTATTCCAGTTATATGTTCTTACAAAACAAAGGTACTTACCCGATAAAATTAACGAAATTGTCCACTGTGTCTATTTTGCTCACAGACATTTTGTAAAGAGGTTAACTTTTATTTTTCTTGGTTATTCAGGTATTACTGCAACATAAAAAATACTTTCAATTCAGTGTATTTTAATCTTCATTTCATATAGATATTAGCTTTTAGAAAATTTTAATTTCAATTTAGTACTTACTACTTAGTACTTAGTACTTACCAGTTTCCCTATATAACATTGTAGTTGTAGTCTTTATTACCATTACTTACCAGAGTTTCCACTTACAATTTTGGTTTGTCCCTATTTTTTTAGGATTTATCCCTAAAATTCCCTAAACGATCTTAAAAATTGTTATTTTTAAGGAGCATATTTTTATTCGAGAAATTAAACAATCATTTATTATTTTGAATATTTATTGATAAATCAACAAAATTTCAATCACCAAAAACCAGATCAGACAGAAGATTTAGAAGCTGAAGCATTACTTTTGTAATGACTTGCTGCACTTATCATGGCACTGTTGGGTTCTAAAATTGAACAATTGTTTGCTTGCATTCCGAACTTTGTATGAAACAAGCCGTTCAGAGTTTCGTTAGAAAGTCTATTTCTTTTATCTGTTTTTACATTTTTTAGAATACCAAATAATTTTTCTACTTCAGTATTTGAAGATGGAATTGCTAGTAAAACTGAAATAACTACTTCAAGATTTTCGTAAATGAAATTACCATGATAATCTTTCATGCTTAGAACCTTATTCCAATAAATGTCAGCTGGCATGTTTTTTAATACTTCTTCGCTTTCAACTCCAAAATGCTTTTTTTTTGTCTATAAGAGCATGATTTCTCCATTCGTTATCTGCTTTTTGTATGTTGCATTTTGTCGTTAAAAAGTTAAATTTATCAAACACATCTTTCACAGCTTGTTTCTCTAGTTTTCTTGCTATTTTTGGATCCACATACTTCACTAAATGAAAATATTTCTCATTCAAGTCGAACCGATTTTTGATTTGCAATACTATTTCTACATAAAATTCTCGACAACTAGCATAAAATTTGTTCACTTCTATTGGGACTTCTGTTTTTAAATCTTCAAGTATTACTTCTTGGTTGAAACAGCTTGACTATGACAGTACTGAATCATTACTTTCACACAACATGTAACATACGTTTGTTCGTATGAATCTTATTATATTACAATTATTATTTTCTTTTATGTATAAATTGAAAAACACACACACCCACTCACTCACTCACTCACACACACACACACACACACACACACACACACACACACACACACACACACACACACACACACACACACACACACACACACACACACTCACAGCTATTATAATTATTGTTACTTTTGACTGTTGATTTATCTTTATGTAATACAAGTCATATCTATCATGACTTACTGATTAAAGAAAGAGCGGACTCATCCTAATACAGGTTTTTCAAACTTAAAAGGGTGAGATCCATATCTAACACTGTAAATGAGACTTGTGTTATGAATAAAATATTTTTTTGTAAGTATCGCATGTGCTTCCATACCAACGTATATATGATCATTATTGAGGTGAATTTCTGTTTTAGTGACGTCAATTTGCTTAAGGCTCTTTAGATCCGAGCTCAGACTCAGGTACTGCTTTTTGACAAAGTGGCACAAAAAAGTGTTCAACATTTTCCGAACCATCTCTGGCAGTATAAATAATTGTGGTGATTTTGTTTGAAAAAAGGTATTAAAATCGTTAGTTATGAAGAAAACGTAACTCATAGAGTGTAGTAATGCTTTATTAAATGGGTTGTTAAGACTGTTCAAGATGGAATCATTAGTATTAGAGGGATTCTCAAAAATTGCCCCCGTAAAAAATAATTCCAATGAATCATACTGCTCTAATATCCTGTCGACACAAGCTTGAAGTGACAACCATCTTCAATCCAACGACGGCTACGTGGCGCAGTGGCTTAGCAATGAGTTGCTGCGCTGGGGGGCGCGGGTTCGAATCCCGCACGGAACAAGTATTTGTATGGCCTACAAATGATTGTTCCGGGTCTGGATGCTTGTCCTTGTGAAATTTGTGTTTGTAAACTGCCTCCACGATACAGGAGAAAATCCTAGTGTGGGGGTAACGTTTTTTTATTAAAAAAAATCTTGTATTTGCTGCAGAAAGTAATTTATGTTGATCGATTTTTAGAAAATCCTGAAACTGTTTGAGTGATTCTGTTCGCTTAGGGCTCATATGAAAATATGCAGGGATATTACGGCACAAATCTTCTAAATTTTTAGGTAGCTTACGGGAGGCATATGATGTCGCGAGATGTATTAAATGGCATGAGTACTCTATAAGGACCAAAGGTGGAATTTCAGTTTTTAGTAAAGTCTGAACTAAATTGTGCTTTCCCATCATTACGTTCGTTGTATCTGATGTAAGTCCGAAGACATGATCAAGAGGTACTTCATGTTTTGAAAAACTTCCTTTTATTGTTTGGAGGATACCTTTTGCCGTTCCATCAATCAATCAATATACGTGGTAGAGCCATGCTGCAGCTATATTTCTGGTATAGTTGTAACACGAATGGGTCGGCTCGACCGGGGAAGGACCACGCTCTCACAGAATACCAGCGTGAAATAGCAGCTTAATGCTGCTGTGTTTCGTATGGTGAGTGTCGAGAACCGAAGACCCTTTTTACTGGAAACGAGGCATTCCATCTTGGTCCTCACGGGTGACAACGCATCTGCATTTTGATTCCTCATCGAGGTTAGATGTAGATGTCTATGAGTCACAACAACCACTTACCATCTGGTGGACTGTGTGCTGTTTTTTCACAGAGAGATCTGTTGTTTCATCTATTATTATATTAAAATAGCTATTATTCATGGTATCAATCACTTCTTGTTTATATGTCGCTCCTGTGACTTGACGTAAAATATTTGTTGCTTTTTGTTTTCTTAGATGCACGTCTTCTAAATATTTCGATTCTGGAAACAAGTTTCGTAACAGCGATACAAAATCATCGACTAAAGAAATTGGTAGATCATGCTTCGCAAGAAAGCCGCACATTTTTAATTCCATTTTTAATACATTAGTAGCGTGCGTCTGATTTTTGTTCAAAAAAGTTGACATTCTTCCACATTGCGAAATAACAGCCACCTTTTTGGTGTGTTTGGCACTGTTTTTATGTTTAAGTAATTCAGACATTCCGCATAAAAGACCACAATCGCATATTTTACAGTAAGCTTTTGTCTCACCTTTATCAGATTTCTTCAGCCAAGACTTAAAATCAGGATGCTCCAGCCAAGAAGTTTTAAATTTTTGTACGCATTTTCTTTCTTTACTTGCTGAATTTAAAGTCGAAGAGGATGGTGTTTCATTATCTTCTTCCATTTTAAATTACTTACAATTTAATCGAAAATAAAAATTCAATATTTTTTTTGTATTACGAGGCGCAATTTGGAGTGCAGTATGTAAATGAAACAAAACATAACTAATTAAAGCAAGCAAGCCTTGGTAAGTATACATAATATGACTAAGTTCCGACTACATTTAAAACAACGGATATTATAAATGACAAATTAAAATTGGACGGATTACATTCTTTAATAGTCCCCTTTTTAAAAATGAACCGCCGTCGGTGGCACCTTAGAGTTTGTACATTCTAAACAGGGTTACCATCATAAGTTTTGATTTTTCCCCGTATTTCCCTAAATCCCTGTCTTATTAAAATAATCCCTAGTCATGTACAATTTCACTTAGTTTTCCCTATAAAAGGGAAAAATCCCTAAAAGTGGAAACACTGGTACTTACACTATCCGTAAAACAGTTTTTTATTTTATTTTTGACTTTTCGATTGTTGTTGTTTTTATTATTCGCTCGAAAGAGCAGGCAAAGGAACTATCCCGTACAGCCTTGTCTTTTTTATTTTGAATATATAGATAGAATTTCACTGCTTCACAATATGTTGATGCGTCACATTGTGCAGCCCTTGGGAGATTTTGACGGCAACTTGAGCCAGCAGACAGCTGACAATTGGCGATGGTATCTAAAGGCGCCTATGCAAACAAACAGCTTATCTTGAGAATCCATCATCATCAGAGCACTTGTTTCACCGTTTCCACTAATAGTTCACATGCGTAGATAGTTAATACATAAAATCGCACCACTTTTACATATCAAATTCCACTTCAAACTATTATTTAAACTATAATACAGGAGCAGCAAACCGCCGCCGGTCAAGTTCCCGCCAAAACCTTTGACTTTTCGAGTTTTGACTTCTGATCACTTTCCACTTTAGAAATCACAGAACGTGTATAATCATAGCTAAATAAATAATATAAAATAAATAAATACCTAAATAAATAAATATGTAGCATATAACCTTAAAGTGCCCTACTAGAAATACTTAGAAATAGAAAGTTGTTGCAGTGTTATCAGATTATTTTACCAGAATCTACCATGACTAATGTAAAATCATGCCAAGAATGCTAACGTGGGTACAAAAAAATTCTTGCAGCATTTTGCTAGTTATGATATGACACAAAATTTACTAATAAAAAAATATTTTTATATTATAATGATTTGGGATGTTCCCATATCTTTATATAAATAACATAACTTAATTTTATTTAGTATGCTTTCTTGAGATTCAAAATAATTTTCGATACTTTAATTTTATTTGTAATATTGATCATAGTTGGTTTTTGTTAGCTTTCACATGTTGCATTAGAAGTAGGTACTATCAACAGTGCTTCGGCAGAATAAAAAAATATATGGATACTTTTTACCGTTATTGAAATGGGATTCCATTCACTATGTTTATTTAATTAATTTTTCTTCACCATTTGCCTTTATTACTTTTTCTGAACATTCTCTACAAATTTGGCCGGTTATTGAAAAATAACCTTGTAATAATTATGAACTAACTTTTGGGATTGGGATATAATACTGGCTAAAAGACAAGACTGATATCATTTAATGCCATTACTCTTTGCGACGGTCTTGGTCATATTTGCAATTAAGAGTTTTCAAAAAAATATAAGTTGCTTGTCGCGTCACTAGACAAGCAGTAAATACCAACTAAGCGGAATATTAATTTATTAACAAAAGAAGAATGGTGGAAATCTATCCCGTGAGTATCGTAAGAGGTGATTGTGGGAAATTGGGAAAAGTAAATTATAACCATCTCTTTATATAGATAGATAGTAATTTCAAAATAATAACTTACAATTGCAAGAGCATAAAGCGCTCTGAAGTATGTGTGAGGTCACTGTGTCAGTCAGCTGACATTGTAGCGCTTCAAGAAACGTGGTTGCTGTGTGATGAGCTTCCTTTTTTGAATACTATTGACCATGAATTTGCGGGCACCGGTACGTCAGCAGTTAATACGTCAGCTGGCTTGCTTCGAGGCAGGCCATATGGGGGTGTTGCGATTTTGTGGCGTAAGGCGGCGTTTACTTCAGTGACAGTGATTGACTGTGAAAGTCCTTGGGTATGTGCAATAAAGGCCGTTATTAGTGATCGATCCATAGGTACTGGTTTTTAGTATTTATATGCCAGTGGATAAAAATGAAAACTTAATTGAGTTCACAGAGTGCTTAGGTAGAATTAGTGCTATCATTGAGAGTTGTGCGATAGAAACAGTTTTCATTGTTGGCGATTTCAACGCTCACCCAGGCTATTTGGTGACGAATTATTAAAGTTTTGTATGGATCAGTGTTGGCAGTGCGCTGATATGGACAAACTCGGTATGAACTCTGACTCTTTTACATATGTAAATGATGCACATGGCAGTAGAAGGTGGCTTGATCACTATGTGACTACTACTGCCGCGTATCAAACTATGCGCAATGTTGATATTTTATACAACATTTATTGGTCGGATCATTTCCCTATATGTATTACCTGTGATTTAGCACTTGTAAGGTCCAAAATGTCACAAAATATAGTTAAGAATAATAAAATAATATAGGGTAACAGAAAACCACATCAAATAAATAAATATAGAGAATATTGTAATTCGAAATTTAGAGATATGCATATACCGGTGGAGTTCTATCATTGTTGTGATCGTATGTGTACGTGTCTAGATCACATAGAGGTTTTACATAAAATGTATAAGAATATAGTGAACACCTTATGCGAGGCCGCAATTATGACATATGAAGGCAGTGCCATTACTAGAAAAAAGAAAACTGTAGTCGGGTGGAATAAATATGTACACGATGCTCATAGGAAGTCCAGGATACAATTTTATAATTGGTTACAATGTGGCAAACCTAAAAAGGGTATTGTGTATGATCAGATGTGTGAAAGCAGACGTTGTTTTAAGTCTAAGTTAAAATGGTGCCAGAATCGGGAGGAGTAAATAAGAATGGACATTATAGCTTCTCAACATTGTAATAAGGACTTCAAATATTTTTGGAAATCCACAAATAAACTAAACCCGCGGCCTGGCCTTCCTGTGAGCATTGATAACACTAGTGAGAAAAAAGAGATTGTTAAAAATTTTAGGCAATATTTTAAAGTTGACTCTCCTTTAGGACCCATAAATGGTAAAATCTATACGGCGGTGTCTCCTGACACAAATCCGGTTCGCTTCACAACTAAACAAGTGGGTGCAGTGATTATGAACATGAAAAGGGGGAGGTCTCCTGGGTATGATGATCTCAGTATTGAGCATTTACATCATGCTGGTGACCATCTTCCTAGGGTGTTGGGTTTGTTCTTTTCACTGTGCCTACGACATAGATATCTGCCAGATAATTTAATGAGGACTATTGTTGTTCCAATTCTCAAAAATAAAACTGGTGACATCTCGGACTTAACCAACTATAGATCTATATCGTTGGCTACAATATTAGCAAAGGTGCTGGACGGTCTACTTGATGGGTATTTAAGAAAACATTTGCAGCTACACGATGCCCAATTCGGTTTCCGGTCTGGTCTTTCAACAGAGAGTGCCATTTTGTCCCTCAAGCGAACCATCGAGTACTATACGGACAGAAAAACACCTGTGTATGCTTGTTTTCTAGACCTGTCAAAAGCCTTCGATATGGTGTCCTATGAAATATTGTGGAATAAGTTGAGGAAAACCGAGATGCCTGTTGAACTTATCGCGATGTTTGAGTATTGGTACAGCAATCAAATAAATAGTGTTAAGTGGGCAGACGAGTTTTCTCATCCGTACGGGCTAGAATATGGAGTGAGACAGGGGGGTTTAAGTTCACCAAACCTTTTCAGCCTGTACATTAATGACTTAATTGGTGAGTTGAGCAGCATGTATATCGGATGCTATGTAGATGGAGTATGTTTAAACAATTTAAGTTATGCAGATGATATGGTGCTGCTTGCTCCGTCTAAAAGTGCTCTTAGAAAATTGTTACGTGTTTGCGAGAATTATGCTGTTAGACATGGTTTAGTATACAATGTTAAGAAAAGCCAGTTTATGGTTTTTAAAGCTGGAAATAAGTGTCCGAAGTATGTGCCTCTTATTGAATTTAATGGTACTGCTCTAGAGAGAGTAAAACAGTTTAAATATTTAGGTCACTACATTACTGAAAATTGTAAAGATGATATGGACATCGATAGGGAGCGAAGGGCACTGTCGGTCCGTGGAAATATGTTGATTCGTAGGTTTGCACGGTGTAGCAACGAAGTCAAGATTGCACTTTTTAAGACCTACTGCCAATCTTTTTACGCGTGCAGCTTATGGACAACATATACAAAGCGCGCTTACAGTGACCTTCGTGTTCTATATAATAACATTTTCAGAGCCCTGTTGGGGTTGCCTCGCTTTTGTAGCGCATCAGGTATGTTCGCAGAAGCAAGAACAGATGACTTCTTTGCAATAATGCGTAAACGAGTATACTCCCTGTTGATTAGAATGCGTGGCAGCCGTAACAGTATTCTGAACATGTTCGCCGAACGATGTGACGGGCATATGCTAAGTCACTGAAATAGTATATTAAAAAGTAATTTTACATATTTAAGAAACTAACATTAGTATTTAAGGTGTATAATGTATTACTAACAAATTATGGATCGAGGTCTGAAATAAAGGAATTATTATTATTATTATTATTATTTACGCTAAGCGTTAAACACCCGGACCAGCGACGGGCTGCAGTGTCAAAGGTGAGAGACGTCTGGCACTGCGATCATCAATCTGCCGGATAACGTGACGATTGACGAGGATTGGCCTTTGTCAAGCAGTAGATTTTAAGGGCTTATAAAAAAGAAGAAAAATAATGAACGAAGTACTAGTTTGCCTAGCATGATTAAAAGTATTTTAGCACCTAATTATTAAAGAACCTAATGTAATTGAACGAACTATTTCTTTAAGTTTTTTTAGTTTTATGGCTCTGGGACAAAAATTGTGATATGTGGATGGTAGTCAGGAATTGATGTTATAAGAAATAAAAATGTAACTTTTTTGTTGCCTTGGTGTTGTCGTTACGAATCGCCATTAATTGCAGGCAAAAATCTTAGATTATACAGTCTAAATTGATTTGTATTTTGCTAAAAACTTAACAATATGCGGATCCGTCATATTGTGAAGTTCTTGAGAGATTTTGACGTCCGATTAAGCGGATAAATAGAGAGATTTATATTACAATCAAACTAAGATTTTTATTACTCGTTAAATCGTTATTACTAAAACTTTTTATGTGCAATAATTTAATACGCAAAATTGCATCACTATGACATATTAAACTTCTCTTTAAACCATTGGTTTAAGCCACAATACAGCTTGCGGTTTTTGGTGTGAACTTTACAAACTGCGCATGTGTGATATATTAGTGGAAACGATGCAACAAGTGCTTCGATAGTGATATAAAGGGTTGGGTTTAGAATCAAGTCGCCAGAATTTGAGGAGTCTGTCACTGTGTGGGGGGGGGGGGGGGTCAAGGGAGCTTATCTCAAGCGCCCCCATGCAATTTCAGCTGCCGGAGCTGCGTCGAAATATTTAATATAATTTTATAAAAATATTAATAAATCACTAATTAATACCTGAAACGGAACTTTTGACATTGACAGTAATCAGTAACAGATATACTCAATCAAAGAGAATATAATCACTACGTTTATACTCGACTTCGCGACTCGCGTCATAAGCGTCATTCCGTTGCTTCCGAGTTTACGTGAATGTGTTCCTTATTGTTATTATCTTCGCTACCCCTCTGGAGACCGATTGCTTGCTAGTTTACGACGTTTTTGGAAATGGTGGAAGTTAACATTTTGGCATTTTATTTGATGCAAGAGCGAGTGAAGCGAGCTCGTGACTTGGGGGTTGGGGCACCCCGACTCGGACAGGTTAGGTTAGAAGGGGATGGCGGGGTCGAGTGAGTTAGTGAACAAACCCCTCCATCACCTTCGTGGTTATTTATTTTATAATTCCCGTCGACCAAGCTTCCCACAACTGCGCCACGTTGAGTGGCATCGGGCTAACCTCCCCCAACTCTCTGCCCCCACAAATCAGGTTTATATTGTCAAAAACATTACGAAAACAACCTCAAAATGAGATTCTTAATAATTATTAAAAAAAAAAACTAACCACGTCTGGCAGGAAATGGAAATGGGGCGTGACTCTACAACTACCCTCCTCCTCCCCCACCCCCTACCCCCCAATTCAGGCAACTCGATTCTAAACCTTACCCGATATAAGTTTCGGGTTTTTATCTGCTTAGCGTTTTGCAACGTCATCATCTGTCCGTTGTTATAATATTTTTTTTAAATCTTAGAACCTACCAGCATATTGGCAGACTAAATCAGACTAGGCTGTATGGTCTATGACAATTGCCTACTGTAAATGTCTAATCGTAACAACGACAACAATCTCTTTGATATTCTAAAACTAAAAGGTTATAATTTTTTAATTAATTATGCTGTAAAAATATAATTGTTTCGGCAACATATTTAAACGCTTTGAGTTGCTGTAAAATATAAATTTAATAAATATGGCATCTGTTTCTACGGCTCCGGCGCCGGGAATGCATCAAATCGATTTATCCAAGTTAAACCTTCATCAGCTGGCTCAATTAAAACAACAAATGGATCAAGTAAGCTAATAAATATATTTCTGAATTTATGAATATATGTACCAATCCTCGTATTTTTTATTAACTACCATTGTTTTAATGTAGGAGTTAAACGTTTTTCAAGATTCTTTACAAACTCTCAAGATGGCTCAAAGCAAATTTGTGGAATCTGGAGAAAGTGTGGAAAAAATAACACCAGCAACAAAAGGGAAAACTGTCTTGGTTCCGCTAACGGGCTCGATGTACGTACCTGGTACAATAGCAGATACAGACAATGTTATAATTGATATTGGAACAGGCTACTTTGCACAGAAGGTAAGCCATATGGAGTTAAAAAATTATCATTATTCATCATTACAGCCGAACATAAGTCAATAGATCATCTATTCCCCCAAGGAATTCCACAAAATATGTTTCTAAACTAATTGTATTTAACTTCTACTTTAAAATATTATTGTGTCTATAGTTATCATTACAATGATAATTCCTTTAGTTATTTTCAAACTTAATCTTTTGGGCAGAAAATTAAATATTATACCTTTTTATGAAGTAAATAAATGGTCATACAATGGAGAAAACATAATTTAAGAGGAAATGCGGGTGGACTTTTCTCCATACAATTGTTCTTGCCTGTTTTCTTTCTAGTTTATGACCTTGATGCAATGAATTTTTACAGTAAAATAAATATTAACCTCTTCATGTCCCTATGTTTTCCGTGTTTATGTTGGTCGAATTGACCCATTCGTGCTACAACTATACTATTAATATAGCTGCAGCATTGCTCTTCCATGTAAAAAGTTGCCTATTCAGACTGCCGTCAACAGAGGCCTAGTGTTAAAATTTGATAACTAATACTGAAAAAAAGAAAACATAAGGACACAGTGTATATCCTTCTTATTTAGTTTATGAACTATTTTTCAAACAGGTCCAATATTGGAAGACGTAATGGTAGAGAGCCAAACCTCGAATTATGCCTTTTTACTGAGGCTATTGAGTTAGATCTGCAGTTGTCCTTATTGGATTGGTCGATCATGATAGCGATAGTTTCTTCAAATACCTAATTTTTAAGTCTCAGCCCGCATCTCCTCTTAATACTTTGATTATTTTCAAATTATTTAACTGCTCATAGGGTCATAAGTGTGGTCTGTGGTACCAACAAAACAACGGTATTGAAGTGTTTGCTGTAGTATGATGCTTAGTCAGTAATATTTTTGTTGCTGCAGTCCATCGATCACTAATAAAAAACTAGATACACAAAGAAGTTCTCTAAAAACTGTCACCAATTGTTTTGCCTTAATTGTAGTTTAAATAAATATACATTAATGTAGATTCAACCTTAAATGCATTGGCTAAAGTTATATTCTCAAAGCTACATACAAATCTGGTTTTTTATAAGTGATCAATGCTGCAGTCCAATGTTATCATATGTAACAGTCTTTTAATGTATTTTGTTTTATTAGTCCTTAGTATCAAATTGAATTTCTTTATTTTTTTTAATATTTAAACTTTATTTTATTGCACTAGTTGGATATATCATAATTTACCTAACCTTTAATTTTATTCAATTTCTAATAGGATATTGATGGAGCAAAAGATTATTTTAAAAGGAAAGTTCAGTTTGTAACAGAACAAATGGAAAAAATTCAAGTGCTAGGAATAGAAAAGTCAAAAGTGAGGGAAGCTATTTGTATGATGATGGAAATGAAGATGCAGGCTCAAGCTCAGGCACAGAAGGCCCCAACCTCATAACAACTGCTTACTATCTTAAATTATAAACTTGCTTTTCTTATAACCTCTCACAAGTACATAACTTGTTTTGAATATGCTTAACTTTTATAATAACATACAGTGGGGGAATATTTTCAATTCTAATAGAGTTGAATCTTGTTAATTTGTCATTATTAAACTCATATTAGTGCTACATTAGTGGTAAATTCTTATTGCTCGAATTGAATAGTGAGTTTAAATTTTAATTAAAATTTCTATCTAAGCAGTGACAGAATGAGCATCTTTGTCATCTTTTTTTTTCTTAGCAGCCATTGCATACCACAACTTTTTATATAAATCTGATTCTACTAGGTGGAATGGAGCTATAGCCCAATAATCATTAATGACAAATGAGAGAATATTCTAATCTGTAGTATTAAAGCTCATAACATAAGCTAATGGCGATTAAATTGTAGGTGTAAATCCCTGGACTTATGTTTACTGTAGGTGCTGGTATAGTAAAATGCCAAATTAGCAAGATTCAACTGTGGTATATATATAAATAAAAAGTAATAAAAAGTAATAATTAAATGTTTTGTTCAAAGCATTAAAATTGCACATTTTGTTTACATGAGTATTATGAAGTGCTCATTGACTCATTGATAATCACAATTTGTATACTACCATTTGTAAGATAAATCTGTTTAGAAGTAAAAGTTTAATCTAAATCACGTATTTCATTAATTAATTTGGTAAAAGTTGTGTTTATTTATAACAAGAAAAAACTAAAGCTTTATAAGGATTAAATGTTGATAATAATTTCTATATAATAAATAATTTTTTAAAGGATATTTCAATGGTATATTGTTCTTTAATTAAGAAAAGTAAATGTTAAGTAAAGTTACAGCCGATTTACGAACACACAAGTTTTGTTTGTATAAATTAAAACACAAAAATTTACTTTTAATAAAAAGTAAAAGTCATCCTCTATACATACATCCATCCATCCATTACAGCTTGGAAAAATTCCACTGCTGAACATAGACCTCCCCATAGATTGCTTAATGTAATAATGATGGACTCTCTGAGTGAACGGTTTCTCCAGGTTGTCGTCGAGACTGCTCATCCCATCCTGTGGCGCTGGTATCCCTCAGGTGTCTGTTCTCTCCGCAACTCTCTTCCTGCTGCATATGAATGATCTGCTTATGCCCGGTATATGTGGGTATGCAGATGATAGAACAGTCATGGAGCGATACAAACCTCTTCAAGTCCTGCGGCCAGTTGGGATCAAATAAAGTCCGAAAGCAAAACTATGGTAGAGCATGTGAATCTCACACTACAGGCAGTCTCGGAATGGGGCGATGCCAATCTTGTGAAGTTCAACACCTCTAAAATAAAAGTGTATCTTTTCACTGCAAAAAGGAGCCAGCTCACCAGCTTACCTTGGCTCCTTCTTTCCGAAATGTATCACTGGAATACACCGAACGCCTTCAGTTGTTGGGGGTTGAGATATCCTCAAATCTGAACTTCGGGCGGTTCATTGAGTCCAAGGCCAAAGCAGCTGCTTACTTTATATAAAGCGCATGTCCGGTCGTGCATGGAATATTGCTGCCATATATTTGCTAGTGCTGCAAAATGCCACCTAGTAGCTTTGAAGTCGATAGAAGGACATGCTAAGAGGTTTATTGGTGACCCGAATTTGGTAAAAACCAATCTAACCAGCCTCTAACACAGGCGCAAAGTAGTCAGCCTTTGGGTTTTCTACAGGATGTATTTTGGAGAGTGAGCGCAGGAATTGCAATATTTTATTTCCTTCTTTGTGTTTCCATTCGACTACAATGTGGGTGTCTTCAAGGCAAGAGTGAATAGGCTTTTGTTAAGTCGGTGCTCTTCACCATATTAGGCTACATCGCCACTTATCATATAGGTGAGATTGTAGTTAAGCGCTGGTTTAGAATTATAAAAAAACTACCTACAGTTTATATTATTTTGTTATCAGGAAGACGCAGCTGCCCATCTCCTATTTATGTTTCCCTCTGTTGCCTTTTATGACACACGTATTTTTTACGTGGTAGAGCCATGCTGCAGCTATATTAATAGTATAGTTGTAGCACGAATGGGTCGGCTCGACCGGGGAAGAACCACGCTCTCACAGAATACCAGCGTAAATTAGCAGCTTAATGTTGCTGTGTTTCGTGTGGTGAGTGTAGAGAACCGGAGACCCTTTTTACTGGAAAAGAGGCATTCTATCTTAGTCCTCATGGCTGACAACGCGTCTGCATTTTAATTCGCAAACGAAGATAAATGCAGATGTCTATGGGCCACAGCAACCACTTACCATCAGGTGGACTGTGTGTTCGTTTGTCACCCAACTTACGTAAAAAAAAACGCACGGAACGCTATGGATTAGTGGATAATATTCTTGTGGAACTAAAACTAATAAAATAACTACACATTCTGAAGTTGGTACAAAAACAACAAAGTGTATAGAAATTAAAGCCTTGATTGCAGAATGGAAAGTTATTTTCTGCCGACTTCCAAAAAGGAGACGGTACTAAATTCGACTGTATGTTTTTTTTAATGTGTGTTACCTCATAACTTTTTACTAGGTGTACCGATTTCAATGATTCTTTTTTTTGTTTGAAAGCTGGTACTTCTCGTGTGGTCCCATATAAATTTGATCACTGTCAGACCGATAGTTTTTGAGTTATTCTTAATAACTTATATTGAAGTCGGCTGTACAAAATTTTTAATTTTAAATTATTTTCTGTTTCATTATTTGAAGTTTGCTTTTACTTTTTATTAAAAGTGATTTTTACCCTTTTTATATAGTGAACCAAGGAATAATAAAAAATAATAAACTTCCTTGTGGAATCGATTACCACCGCGATTTTTCCGGACCAATACGACCTAAGGGCCTTCAAGAAAGGAGCCTACTCCTTTTTAAAAGGCTGGCAACTCATCTGCGATTCTCCTGGTTCCCCTGGTGTTGCAGTTGTTCATGGGCGGCGGTAGTCACTTACTTGAGCCGCATGCTCGTTTGCCCCCTCTCCTATAAAAATATATTACAATCTCAATATAGTTAATAAAGTTACATTAAAAACATCACCCATATATTGCTAACTTTAAGCATGGAATTTTATCTCCAAATTTATATGGGACCACTCCTGAAGTCCAAACTTTTTAATAAAAAAAGAATCAAAATCTTTTCATAATTGACGAAGATAAAATTTATTAGCCCTTATTAACAACACCAAGGATACAAGCTACTTAGAAAAATCACTAGGTTGGTGGTTGGGTTCATTTCTTGCCTAGGAGTCCGTCGGGGTAGGTTACCAAAGGAAGATAGGAGGTACCACCCTCTTTACTATTTTTGCCACCAAATAGCAGTACTTGCAGTGCTGTCTGAAGGGTACAAAGAGCTATCTTTTCATCCTTTAAAAAAAAAAGAACGTTACCCCAACACTAGGATTTTCTCCTGTATCGTGGAGGCAGTTTACAAACATAAACTGCACAAATAAAAATATCCAGACCAGGTTATACAAATACTTGTTCCGTGCGTGATTCGAACCCGCGGCCCTAAGCGCAGTAACTCATTGCTAAGCCACTGCGCCACCGAGCCAGTGTAATTATAAAGGCTATGAGTCATCTTAGTCCTTAGAGGTGACAACACATTATACAGATGTGTTGTCACTTGTTACCTCTAAGGAGGCTACAGAGCCTTCTTTGATAAAAGTTGGTTGCAGGGGTACATGAGCTGGGGACGGGGCCGGATCTTGCGGAACACCAGTTTGGTTTCCGCAAGAGGCGCTCTACGGTGGACGCCATCATGCGCGTAAGAGCCCTCACGACGGGGGATGCAGTGGCCAGGGGGGGGGGGGTTGTTTTGGCGGTGTCTCTCGACATCGCCAACGCCTTCAACTCCATGCCCTGGAGCTGCATTAGGGAAGCACTCCGGTATCACCGGGTGCCGACCTATCTCCGTCGTATAGTCGGGGACTATCTGACGGATAGGGCCGTCATCTACCCCGGTCGCAACGGTGAGTGGAACCGGCGAGAGATGTCGTGCGGTGTCCCACAAGGTTCGGTTCTGGGGCCGCCCCTGTGGAACATCGGTTACGACTGGGTGCTGCGCGCCGACCTCCCTACCGGAGTCAGCGTAGTTTGCTACGCTGACGACACGCTGGTACTGGCACAGGGGGGGTCGTACGAGGCGGCGGCGGAAAATATGACACGCGGGGTTGCGATAGTCGTTGAGAGGATCCGGCAGCTGGGTCTTGAGGTGGCTCTGCACAAGTCCGAGGCCATGCACTTCCATGGTCCTCGGAACAGGCCACCACCGGGATCCTCAGCGATGGTAGGAGGGGTATCCATCGGCGTCGAGTCGACGTTGAAGTACCTAGGACTCGTCCTCGACGGCCGATGGAACTTCGTTGAGCACTTCCGACGTTTGGCTCCCAAACTGGAACGGACCGGGGCTGCCTTCAGGCGGCTCCTGCCGAACCTGGGGGGGCCAAACGCCTCCTGCCGGAGGCTCTACGCGGGGATTGTGCGGTCCATGGCCCTTTACGGGGCCCCGGTGTGGGCGCGTGGTTTGGCGCGGCTTGCCGTCCACCACCTGAACGCGCCCCAAAAGGTGGTTGCCGTAAGAATGGTTCGCGGCTACCGCACGATCTCCCGCGAGGCAGCGTGCCTCCTTGCCGGATTGCCGCCATGGGATCTGGAGGCGATAGTCCTCGCGCGCCTACACGAATGGCGCGCGGAGGCACTATGCCGGGGGGAAACCCCGCTGCCGCGGCAAGTTGTCGTGCAGCGGACAGACTTCCGGCATGATCTCATGGCGACATGGAGAGAGCGACTGTCGCAACCCCGTGCTGGGCACGCCACTATAGCGGCGATAAGACCCCTCTTTGAGGAGTGGCTTGAGAGACGCCACGGCGTCCTCACCTTCCGCCTGACGCAGGTCCTCACCGGACACGGTGTGTTCGGGAGGTTCCTGCACCGAATCGGGCGGGAGGAAACGCCCGGGTCCTCCCACTGCG